CGAGGGCGGCGGCGGTCGTGATTTCAGTTCTGCCAGAGCCAGGCTCCGCGGTCAGAAAGTTGTAGCCAACTGCCTAAAGCTCTTTTTTCCTACTCAGGCAGTGGGGGAAACGGGCTCAGTTCTTTATGGCAGTTGTGCGCAGAAAACCGCAGATCTGTGGGAGGGAAGAAGAGGTGGCTATGGAGGCATCGCACACATGAGCACAGCCATCATGGCAGCCAACATGAAGTGCTGCTGTGTCGTGGCTGGGGGACAGCCTGGCCGCTCCCTGCCATGGACAGTAAGGGAAAAGATACAGAGATGCTTTTCCTCTGTAGTCTGCGCCAAACCAGGCACCAGCAGCCACTCGTGCCTTCCAGGGGTCTGCTGTGTACTTGGCTGTTTTGCCACAGTCAGCTCTCCAAGGCTACACCTGTGTCTGCAGCCAGCCCTGATGATGAAAAGGTTGTTTCTGCACGTATATAGACAGGCAGGCACGTTGCAAGCAAAGGGACGCCCCACACAGGTAACGTGGTAAGAGCTGCGCATCAGCAGCTGTGACACTCCTGAGAGCTCGGAAGGGGAAAAGAATACACCCATTACGGTGGAGCTGCTGCGCCTTTCAGTGGGGTGCAGCAAGAGCCAAAGAAGAATTGGCAGCTTACAGCAGGTACTAAGGGGATCCAAAATTGTAGAAACGCTGACAAGAATGTTTGGAGAGACGGAAAGCCTGTATTTTAGGTATTTAATTAATTTCTGACTTTTAGGATGAGTTTTTTACACTTGGGGCAGATTATCCCATGCTTGTCAATCACAGAGGTATTTATTTTGGTCTGTGATGAAGAGCAAATAGCAGTAGCTCCACTAAAACAGGTTACATGCTCGCAGTCTCAATAAAACTGAGAAGCTCAAAACATCTGCTAAGGGATCTGAACACTCAAGTCAGGTAAAAGATTGAAAAAGGTCCTGCCTATACAAGGCATGAAATATCAAGCATCCCCATTGTTTCAAGAGCCCTGGGCAAGACAGAAAGAATTATTTCATTATTTTCAGTATTTACCCTTCCAATAAGCCAGGCCAGAAGTGAGATCATTCTCTGTCGAGAGGTTTTGCTCTTCTATTTCTCTGTATGACCAAGGTGAATGTCGACACCACTGACTCGTGCTACCTGAATGATAGGAGAGGGTACTTTTTTTGATCCCCTTCTTCTCACAAAGAGAGATGAGAAGTAGAACCTAGCTGTTTTCCAGAAGTCCGAAGCTCCACATTTTCATCACACAGGTAGGTGAGGCTCTTCTGTGTTCACCACTGAGGCATCTCTGTAGCACCCTCACAATGCGACTCCTTGTAACTCGTGAGGAGACTGCCTAGGCACCGCCATCCTACCTCTGAAATGATGCCATGTAACACTCACTCACCAAATCAGCCACCTACTTAATTATCCATGGATCCCAGCTCAGTAACCTGTGCCCAGCTATCCCATTTGGCTGGGAAGGTTGTTCCGACTGCCCTACGCCCGGACAGCCTCCTTGTTCAGCACACACACGCTGGGAGGCCATACAGCCAGGCACGGTGAACTGGAAGATCTATCGGTTGCGTTATGTTGACCAGAATATGCTTGTCCCAAATCCATGTAAACATGCTGCAAGATGGAACTGAGATGGAAACACCTATCAAAAGCAGGCATCAGCTCTCAAAAGCAGTGCCTTGTTATTAGTTTTTTTACCATATTAAGCATGTTTTCCTTTCCAATTAACTAGCTTTGTCTTTTCTTCCTAAAGCTTTATCTGCTGGCCACTACCCAAAGGCCTAGATGGAACTGGTGATAGCAACACAAACTCTGAGGGAAAGCCTGTGGTAAAAACCTCAAAGAGGGTTTCCTAAGTCTGCAAGTGAACAGTATCCTTTATTTAACAACATTTTCTATTTTAAAAAGAGTTTGAATGAGACTTATTTGGCCTGTAGAAGCCAGGAGAAGACCAAACGAAACACAATGTATACTCTTGCTGGATTTACAGAATACCAAGGGCAAAGGGAGGTTAAAATTTAGTCATCTTGGGAGAAAACTTCAAAAGGGTCTTTGCGCAAAGGCATGGCCTGTGGAGACTAAATATCTCTGCATGCAGCACTCCATTTTGACTCTAGCAGCTTCGCAAATAGATTAAGGAAGAGCACTGCTATTTTGGGTATGCTGCCTGCATCGTAATGGTTTATAACAGTATCACCCTGGAAGAAGGAATTACTTCTTGGTAGGATGGGAAGGGAATTGCCACTAAAGCACAGTTAACACATTTTCATACTGATTGCACCAATTTGGAGTACAGTGCAGAGGGGAGATCAGAGCCTTTTCTCTTCTGACATTACGTTGTGCACACAGACAGATCATTAACTTTGTGCTTTTTTGTTTTCCATTTGTCTGCTGCCTGCTGACAGTGGCAGAAGAATTATATTAAAAAGTATGTGTTAGGACAAACAGATTTATCTACCAGTCAAAGAGGAATGGCTGAGGGCAGGGTACTGAGCTCAGACTGCTGGAAAGCTGTCAGATCCAGTACCCAGGAAAGGAGATTCAGTGAACATCTCGGAGCCTCTGAAAGAGAGAATGAAAAAAGACCCTCCCTCAATCTACCATGTCCCTTGGCAGCCTCGTGCCACGTGTGAGAGCACAAGGACTACAAACAGCACTGGACATTTACAGCTCTGGATTTAGAGGAGCAATGGCTGAAATAGGGGGAAACTGCCCAATTGCCATGGGGTTCTGCATTGTTTTCCCTGTACAGCCCTTTATCAGAATTAAAGAATACACAGCAGTGACTCATGATGCGTAAACAGCAGAGTAGCACTGCAGTCATTGCCGTTGGCTTCTTGTACCTTCAGTTTCAGCCCACTAAAAGAATGGTCATCCAAAAAAAGAAGTACTTGTCTGTTAGAGAGACTCAAATAGAGAGACTTCTCAAGGAACCTCAAAAATATATTTACATTCATTGTTACTCTTGGGTAGGGTAAGCCCCTATCAATGTCAGTTGAAAGTAGCAGTCTGGGGTAGTCCGGGTTTTTCCAGGTTTCTCACACTTCTGATACACATGATAGAAGGTAAATTTAGCTGTGGAAAATCTGTGTGGGGAAACAGAGCCGAAGGTATTGTGATATTTTTCCATATAGTGCCTGTTCTGGGAACAACTAACCCTTTACCATCTTGAAAAGAGAAACCTGTTTAATAGTGGTCTAGAGAAATATTTTTGTCTTTGACTTCGTATAAACATGAGACAGCCATTGCTCCAGCAGCCCAGTCAACCATACATTGTGTTTGATTGTCAAAGAAGTTGTCTGTGGTTTTGGTCAACACTTAGATACTCAAGGGGGAAAAAAGGACTTCAAACCTCTGAGCAAGATGAATTGTCAGGGCCGTTGCCTATTATATTAACTGCCCGGGTATAAGACAGAGTTTCTTTTTTGTTATCAGAGTTGCAGACCTGCAACTACCAAATACTATCAGTTCAGCAGTGTGACCTGAGAGAGAATGAATGCTGGGATTGAAGCACCTTTGCTCTGGTCTAGTACAATGGAAGAGACTCTAAGGTGATTAACTACATTCCCCTTTAAGCTTCAAACTCCATCTTTAGGTGAAGGCAAGTGGTTCACTGGGCTAAGATTACCTCAAGAAGGGGTGCGCCTGTCCCTTCCCAGGCTGAAGAGGCAAATCCCCATGTTTCAGGACTACGGCATGAATTCTGTATGCAGTGATGCCGTACCACAGGATTGAACCATCCTCTCCTGGGAGATCGCCACAGAAGGCTGTATGGA